GTCAAGTTCTATCAAAATTTGAGATAAACTAAGCTCTTAGGGCTTTTCCTTATGATCCGTTGCCTAATCTCACTAGCTATGTAACCTAAACAAGCTTTTACAGCTTCAACAGTTGAAATCGTGACGACTAAATGTTTATTATTGGGTACAAACTTTTTGCTTTAACCAGGATTAATATATACTTAGGAAAAAGGGCTGGCTTCGTGATTTTCTTTGAACCATTCAAAAATTAATGGCCAATATCCCACCAATGAAACCAGAAACATAAAATCAAAGAAAAAAAAATGGTAGCAGTCAGTAGACAAACAGATCAAAAACACTCGAGCGAAAAAGAAACCGCTCGATCAAAAAGGGCTGCCCGAAATCACGTAGTTAGGCAAGTTTGTCTTCTTCCACATATTATCCAAAGTAACAGCTCGATTTCCAGCTGGTTTCTGCAAAACTATGCACGCCTCTGGTAGTCTTGTGCATCGAGAATGGTTTGCTGGTTTTAACGCGATTTAGCCAGTCAACCTTTGTGTTCAATAGAATACGCCTTTTCTTGAAGACTTTTTGCATCCAAGTTCTGCTGGCTTCTGCCTTTTCTCAAGTAGGAATTTTTTTTTTATTTTTTGTGGTGAAAAACAATTTGGGAAAATCGTAACCGATGCTTTGCTGATAAACCTAATGGCCGACTTTTCTGGGCGTTGCTTGACTTTTACGTATCATTGGGGCAAGATAAACTGCGTGCGTGGTAAGAAAAATGATGTCCTAATCATTTTCATGTCTAGCTAGTCGCTTCCGATCCAATCCAAGAATAAATACTTTTACTGCCATCATCTACTTAGATCCTGTGCACACAAGGAAATGGCTTCCTCGTCCCTTGTTATCCGTCGTTTGTATCCAGCTGACAAGGTATTGAAGCATAATTATTCATGGATAAATATTTATACAACAGATAAAGGGACACTATCAGTGTGTGATGTAAACACACAGTATCATTTTTTTTAACTTTCATTTATTACCCCAATCTTAAGGGTAAAATTGTCCCAAATAGATTAAAAATATTTTTTTTCTGTTTTTTTTTAATAATGTAAGTAAGAGATTTCGAAATCGGACCTCTTATTTACATTCTTATTCCCCTCTTCAATTTAGTAAGTTGTACAATGATTCATCATCAACTATGACTCCGGATTCATTACCTTTGGAAGATAATTTTTTAATCATGGCACATATAAGTGTCAATCACTAGTTGTAAATAGCATTAATTTTTCCTGTGTCATAAGTGTAAAATTATTTTATACTAGCAATTACTCATGCATGACAAATAATTTCCATTCAAAATTTGAATAAAGCATGTTTAGTATGCATCTAAACCCTCTCGTATAAGAAAAAAAAATCTACATGGCACAAATATGAGAAAGATTAAATCCAATTAGGCATTATAGTGTAGTACTTTAAGGTACAATCATGCTCTCCATGTTCAATAATGCAATTAAAGAAGGAAAGTAAAATACAAAATGCAATCAAACATAATGCATTTGTTAGTATTAATTTCAAGAAACATATCAGATGAGATTTTACAACTTCAACCCAAAAAAAAAAAATTTTTTTTTCCCAACCAATCTGTTTGGATTGTGAATTATTAGAGATATTTTCACTGTAACACTTTTTGTGATGTGATGCATGTGAGATAAAAAAGTAATTGAGAAGGTAAAAAGATGTATTGAAAATTATAATAATGATGTAAACAAATAAATTTGGAAAAATAAAACCCAATCCAAACAAACCTGCTAGCATACAAGTTCAACCAATTGGCGTAGGAAACACTGGACTCTCGCCATATCGGGCTCCATTAACGAGGCCCCAGTGAGAACATTTGGACTGTAGGGTATTTGCCAGTTACGGACCCAATCGTAGTCAACCAAACCCTAAGCCAATAAGATGTTAGGCTTTGAGCAACTAGACAGGGTCCAGTCATCACAGCAGAGTTTGAGCAATCCAGCTAAACTTGTGGTCCCCAGCCTGATCAGACACAGACTGCCCAACCATGCAGGGGCCTTCTCGTCAATTTACTTTGGAAAGTATCAAGTTCTTGTGGTAACAAATATTCAAAGGGTAAGAACAAAAGTGAAAGGATGATGAGGGAAGCTTGAATTTCAAAAATTTGACTACCAAGAAAGGAATATTACTGTTATAAAATAATAATAATAATAAAGAAAGAAAGGAATATTACTGTTCATCACTACTCCCCCGTGATGAGTAATATCAGGCGTATAGCCAAGTTACATAATGAGTTACGAACTATTTTTTTGTTATATTTAAATATTTCTTGACTCCAGGTATGTAGCTTCAATTAGGCTCAAGGATCCTATCTGCAACCATTTGGGATGGGATTTATGTTGATTTGGCAAAATTTGTTTCTAATTTGAAATTTTACACTTGAGTGGCATGATTGACACTCTTGATTAGGCCTTGCTTGGATTGCGATTTTCTGTCGAAAAATTACGTCATTTTTCGTGATCACATTTCCCTATTACCTTTTTTCCTCACATACATCAAATCGCTACAGTAATTTTCCCATGAAAAATGCAATCAAAACACAACCAACGGTGAGTTTCACAAAACAATGAGTAAATCTTATATACATTGACGGTATATACACTATTACGGTTAGATATATAACACATATACAAAATTTGAATTTCAAATTCAAATTCAAATTATGTGTCATACATCTAATGATAAAAGTGTATACACTGTCAGTGTATATAAAATTAATCCCAAAACAGTACTATCAGGAATTTGCACATAAACGTTTACAACAATAGTTATTACTGCAAATGCATTTCTTATACTAAATTCAAGAACAATTTTCTTTTTTTTTTTTACGGTAACTATAATATTTCTATAACCTAATCTATTATAATTTACAGAAAGGGAAGCCTAAAGAGACTATGTATAAGAAGCTAGTAAATATAAAAATCTGACCAGATCAAAAGGATGTTTTGACAGTTCTTTTGAATTTTTTTCAGTGTAAGTGCAATTCAACTCCCACCTATAGTCCACAGAGTAACTTGGCCCCAGTTTTTTGTCTCAATGGTTCAAGAACAATTGTCATTTATAATTGTTCTTGCTTTTGCCTCTCTTCCCTTCAATTCATGAGCAGACTTCTAAATAAATAAGGGCTGCTTTGACTCATTTGGAGTTACACCCTAAGCTGGTGAAATCTTTCTCTTTGAAAAATTGAAACCCTCATAAGTGACTGTCATCTGGCGAAGGATGTGGTTATTTTTTTTATATACAAATTGAACTGCCCATCTACAATTTCTAATTGCGAAATGTAGGGGGGAATAAAGAGAAATGAAAGATAGAGTTGTCTAATATTTGTTTGAATTATCCTCCTTTTTTGTCGACACTTAAGGAGTTTTGGTTGAAATGAAAGTGCTACAATATTATTATTTTTTTATTCTCTCAGTCATTCTTTTTATCATCATACATTATATCACAAAAAATCCTACACTATTATTCTCACAAAATTTTTTTAATTAACTTCCAATCCAAAATTCCAACCGCAGAAATATATGTTTCACCAAGGATCCAAAACAGTTATGTTGAAAATGCTACGAGGAAATGGAGTCCAAATTGAAATAAATTGTTATGCTTTAATCGAGGGACTCAAATTGTATTGACTTTATCCAAAAAAAAAAAGATAAAAAATTGAAGAATTAAAAAAAAATTAGCATGAGCATTCATTTGGAGAAATACTACTTGTTAAGAATGCAAAATATGAGTAAACTTATGAATTGCATTCCAGGTTAATAAAACACATTGACAGTAAAAAGTTTTTCAAGTGAAAATTTAGGCTGATTTTACCTTAAAAAACCAAAAAAAAAGGAAAAAAAAAACAGGCTGATTTAATGAATTTTACCAAAGATGCAAAAGAGAGTGGGGCCACATCAAGATTGTTCTATTGTACATCCCTAAATGGGCACGTGATCTCAGTCAATGACCCAGGCGACAACCAGTGATTCTCCCCTGCTGAGTGCTGACCCCAAAATCACATGAATTAATATTATAAAAAAAAGAAAATTAAGAAATGTGCCAAGAAACTTCTTTAGGTAAAATTTTCATTATGTGAAAATTTTTGTAGCAAGTGAAAGTGGTCTGTATTTATCTTGAAAACTCCTCCATTTTGCTTTTGGATTAATACACGGATTAAGTGGGAATAAGTGAGGAGGTTTATTCGTTTTTCCCGTACAGCAAAGCCTTTTTTAGTGTGTTCTCATCAAGAAAACTTGAATGGTTAAATACACCTAGAAAATTAACTAGTAGAAGAAATAGAAAATCCTTAATCATTACTTTAATTGCATCAATGGTCTGAAAACCGACCTTTTTACTTTGGTACACTAATGTTCATGGTTTGGGGGTCACTGATCACATTTATGATTTACTTTTACCGTGGTCATGGTTTCGGTACACTAATGTTAATGTTTGAATAGAAGATTATTTGAAATAATTATTGTAACACATTTTAGGATGCGATGTATGTGAAATAAAAATATTATTAGAAAGATAAAAAGTTATTCGAATTTTTTAAAAAGAATTTTATAATTTTGTGAATATATTTTTCAATCATCTTTTTGTTTCATATACATAAAATCGTTATAGTATATTTTTCTATAAAAATTTTATATAAAAACAATCCAAATGGGATATATAATAATAGTTCTTAAAATAACAAAACATCTTTTAGCAGGCTGTAGAAGTAAAAATTTAACACCTTTTTCTTTTGGCACACAAGAGGTGACTTTCTGAACCAGTGTCACATTGATCATTGATGTCAAGCTCAAGCACCATGCCTTTTCCTTTCTTTTTCCTCTTTCCCTCTTTTATTTCTGCCAGATATATGCTTTCATTTTTTGTTTTTCTCGTTTTTTCCCCCTCAATCAGTTGTGTGTTATTTTACCTTCATCAATACCTCTACCATAATTTTCCCAAACAGCCCATAAGAATCCCCTAAATGCTAAATATCCTTACCCCACTTGCAACTATACTAGTAGTAGTATCCCACATCCATATTTTTCTTCTCTTCTCCTCTTCACTTCACTTGTTTTTTGTTTGCAGTCTTCTCTACCTTTGCCTCCCTCCTCTGCCTCACAGCTTCTTTCCCTTGCCTGAACTTCTTAACCTCAAATGGTGAGGATTATTAACCTCATCAAATCTCAATCCAGTTCTTGAATCATTCCTCACTTTTGATTGTTTTTTATCTGGGCTTTTACTATTTCTCTGTCAGATCAAAGCCTTTTCATTTTCTTATCACTTGAACAATTTCTTGTTGCTTCTTTACTTTGTTTACTTTTGCACATAGGAAAACCCATCTCGATTTTGGTTTTCTTTGATTGGAATTTTTATAAAGATGTGCTGAAAAGAGGTTTTTGGTTGAAGATGCAAATGGTGGCTGTTTCCGTTTCTTATGAGGTCTGCTTCAGTTGGTATGTTTCATTCTGTATGAAAGGTTGTGCAATGGATTTATTGGAAAGATTTGATCTTTTTCAGTTTGTTTGGGTGGTCTGTTTTGAGCTTCAAAGATTCCATTTTGATTGTTTTCAAGCATGTTTAAGTAAAGCAGTCTTAAGTTCTTTTGTTGTATGGTTGCTATGCAGACTTTGTTTTTCTCAGTATATGGTTTCAATCATAGGATAATCTGCTTTTTGTCTTGGATGTTATTGTTGTATTGGATTGATTATGTAGTGATTTTCTTGGAACTGCCATTGGCTTGTTTTCTTTAGGCTCTGAAGTTTCGGTTTTACAGCTTTGCTTATTAGTTAGGCGCTATTTTATAACATCCGAATACACATGATGCTTTTACACTAATTAGTCAAAGTTCCAACCTTTATGTGTTTCCTGGGCATGAGAGCAAATATGGATTTGTATGCTTGCCAGGAAACAGAGCTTTTTGGGTTTTCTTATAGTCGTTTGCTTATTGGTGAATCTGAGGAGATATCCGTTTCCAAGATTTATTTTTGGTTCGTTTTCTAGTGTGTGGTTATATTTGTTGAGTTATTGTGATTGATCCTTCTCAGTATTTAAAGTTTCAATAGAAAGTCGTGAAATTTGTTGAGTTGTTTGAAGTTATCTGATTTTCTTTTTCCGGGCAGGTTCTTCTGCAGAGATAATTAATTTTTGCCCAAGTTTTTTTTTGCTTTCTCTGAAAAATGGGTAGAGGGAGAGGAAAGGGTAAGAAACAATTGAGTACTGCTGCTCGTGAAGATGCCGGAAGTGGTGAGGAGGAGAAATTACCGGTGAGGAGAAGGGGAAGGCCACAGAAACCACTGAAGGATGACATTGAGGAAGATGAAGATGTTGAGAAGATAGAAGAAGAAGAAGAAGACAGTGAAAGTGCAAAGAGCTCTGTTTTAAATAAAGATAGCAAGAATCAACCCACTGTTGAGAATGGCCGGAAGAGGAAAAGGGCTTCGCAAGTCAAGGAAAACTTAGATTCTATCAAAGAGGAAAATGGTGTGGGAAACAAGACTAACACTAATGAAGCAGTGAAGTCTGTTGGATTCAGACAGAACGGCAGCAGAAGAAAGAACAAGCCTCGTCGGGCTGCTGAAGTTGGTGTGGAGTGCAGATGAATTTTGTGCTCATTATTGGAGAGCACAAAAATTTGGCTTTCCATTTTATTTTGCCATTTGTCGTATTTTGTTGTGTTTGATAGTCTCAACTGAAAATTTTATTATCAATCAATATTCTGTGATGATATCAAGAAGCCTTTGGTTTTACCAATTACCAGATCATCATGTCAGATATGTTGTCTAATCTTTTCCTTTTGCACTTGAAGTCTGAAGCAAGCTGAATCCAACGTAGGTGTAAGTTCTTCTGCGATGGCATTTTGTTTTGGCATGGTTTAAGTAGCTTCTTTTGGTTTAGCATCCCTTGTATAATCTTCTTGAAGCCTGCTCATTGCTTTGCTTGACACGTTTGTGTACAGCAATGAAGCACGTATGAAAAAATTCCAGGTGGTTGGCTATTAAAAAAAAAAAAAGGAAGATTATTGCCATAGGTTCAGGTGCAAACGACTCTACGAGTGCAGAGATTCTCCTGCCTGGAGATATCAGGTAAAGTACAAGAAGATCTTTGCTCTTTCTGGCCAATATTTCTGTTTCAAAATTGACTAAACTGCAGAAGAACTTGGGAGATTTGCCCCAGTGGAGATTTCAGGTAACATACAAGTGTTCTTCTTGTTTGTTACTTCAGATAACTTAATTGCAAGGCTCACTTTAGCTGTTTGATTTAGAAACCTTGAGGTTCTTTGGCTTTTTTGATATATGAATTTTTGACCTTTCATGATGTCAGTGACACAGTCTGTACAGTCACCGATGCTTGCTTGTGATATAGGAAAAGAAATTATTTTGAAGCTTGGTCTTCCTACAGTGCAAATTGTTCAATCATATAGTTTGTGCTGGGACATTTTGCATGAAATGAGATGGTACAAAATAAAGGCTTGGGGAAAATGGATGAAGTTCTATTTGCATCTTCTCTCTGGATTTTTTTGGCTGCATTGATGTTTTTGGCTAATATTGTACAGGTACTAAGTTCTACACATGAAACATTGTGAAAAGATTGGTTTTCTCTCATTGAACAATTTGAATCTGTTTTCACGTATGCAGACATGTCTAGATAGATGCACATGCGTGCGGAACCATTGTGCCTCGTATTCTTTTCTTGCTGCAGTTTGTTACAGCAAATGAAGGATATTAAGGTACTTCACTGCTTTGCAAAAGTTTGCAGATGGATTTATTAGTTATTAGTGGGATGATAATCAGTATTCTGATCTATTGAGGAATCGTTTCTTGCATCTGTTTCAACCACAAATCTGTTGCATGAGGAATTGGCATGCTAGAGTTTCTATTACAAACCTGCATAATTGGTCAAGGTGAAAGGAAGATTTCGGGATACATGGTTCAGTTACTCAGCTATTGGCAACAAAACTAAGCACAAGCAGACTAAATTTCTCATGAATTGTACTTGTAATTCTTGTCGAATGGAGTTGATTGTCAAGTCCCCATGGCCAAATTTCATTTCATCTGAGTGCCTTCCAATCTATAGGCATTTAACTCTCCCTCCTGTTTAATTTTCAAGTACAGATCATCTTGCAAAAATTGAGCCTAAATGTTCAACCTATTCTGACAATCCTATCAATAAAGTTGCTGGGATATGAATTGATGGGAGGGGTCAAAAGGCGGAGTTCTGTTTTCGTTTGTTTTGGTTTAGTGAGCAGTTGGGCCTTCCGAATGACCAGAACGTCAAAAGGCCTCATTGTCTTTTGTACTTTTTTGGGGATTAGCATCAATCATTGGGGGCCTTTAACTCTTTTACTTAACAATTTCACCAAAGGAACTTGACTATGATACCCACCCATTATTGTCTTTTTCCTTTTTCTTTATTTTTTTTTTTGAAAAAATAAATCCCTGGAGACTTCGTTTGGGCATCTGCTAGTTAGCAAAATTCAGAAAAGAAGAAATTTGCACCTAAAAAAATAATAATAATAAGCAATGCTAAATAGACATTGGTGGTTGCCAAGTTGGGATGCATAAGCAAGTTGGTCCGGTCCCTTGTAAGTTTTCAAGGATTAGGTGACCAGGAGAAGGGGTTCTTGGCAACCATAATCTTTGGTAAATAAGGAAATGTAGTAAGAGTGTGGAAGTAGGATTGTGGACCAGAGAAAAGTAAAACACTAAATTTAGACTTGTGGCTAGCCAGGGCAGGCATCTGGAAGTTGGTTTTTCCAGCAAAACAGATAACTGCAGTAAGAAATTGGAAACAATAATTATTTTGATGACTACATTGTCTAAATTAAAAAAGGTCGAATCATTTCTTCCCCAAAAAGAGAAGTCTATGTTTGATAGAAAATAAATCCAATACTTTTGTTGGATTGTTGATCACAATGTTTTTTTTTTTTTTTATGGAGAAGACAATCCTATGTAATTTAAAAAGGAAGTGTAGACGAAGGAATGGACATTTTAAAATTGAAAGGGGGCAAAGTGATTAAGGAATGAAGTTTACAAAATTGAGGTGACAGGGGGGCGAATAAGATACAAAATTGAAAATATTCTTTAATATCAAGCCTATTGTGCAATTTTCAAAACTTTAGGGAGGAGTGGGCAATTGCCTACCTACCCTCATATGTGTGCATACCTCCGCCTATATTCAAAGTGCTGACAATATGATTAACATTGGTTTTGAAATTTAAGCTCTTTTTACACAATTTATGAGTTCAAAAAAAAAATTTGTGATTAGTTTACCCAAATCATTTAGAGTCCACAAAAAGGTGCTGAAAAATTGACCAAACAAGGAATCACAAAATCAAAAAAAAAAAAAAGAAAAAGAAAAAACGCACGCGGTTTTATGCACGGAATTCAATTATTCACCGTGTTGCAACCTAGACTTTGGTTGAGGGGGTTAACATTTCCCGACGCCTGTGTGGTCATTTTTGTTCCTTCCGTTCCGTTGTTACTATTTGCTTTCTTGGGAATTGGAGGTGGTGTTTCTGAATATGAAATAGCTTTTATTGAATTTGGAAATAAGAAAAAATGTTTCCAAAAAAAAGACTTTTTCTTTTCTAAATTTTTTTCTCTCACGCTCCTCTCCACACCCTTCCTCCCAAGAACTAGAAGGAAGATTTGAATCCTGAATTCGACCGCGACAAAAAGTCTAAGAGCTCTCTCCTTATAGATGCGATATTAGATTGACTAAAATTTTAAAGTCTCATTAGATTTATATATGCAAATTTGAAAAAAAAAATTATGTTATATATCATGGTTGTTTTGTATATATAACATCATGCTTACTCAAATTGTAAGTTTTACCAATAATTGAAGTATTATTCGTGAAGTATAATAGCAAAAAGGTTATTACGTGTTTTGTATGATTAGCAAAAAAGTACGAATATCTTTCAAGGATTAATTTTTTATCCACTGAAAATGTAATGATTTTTTTTATACTAACAACTTCGGATGTATATCATACGTGCATGATTTGAATTCTAAATTTGAATTCTTGTTATATGACAAATGTATTTTAGAGTATTTTATATGAAATACAAAAAAAAAAATTTAATTATGCATGGGAACGTATATTAAACGTGCGTAATACAAATTTGTTACTAACTGTGCTATCTAGGGCATCCACGTGATGGATTTAAAGCCGTTGTTGTAGAAAAAAAGTGCGAAAAAAATTCTTTAATTAAAAATACAATGTGCATTGAATTACAGTACAACTCTTATTAGACAAATTACACCGAGAAACATGCAAAACTATAAGCTGAGTGAAAATCATAGTTATGAGACACATAATTAATACAAGTCCAAGTATAGTAACTGGAGACTCGACTTTTGACCCAAAAAAAAAAAAAAATGATCGTACACCAAGACACATAATTAATACAAGTCCAACTTGGCTCGACTTTATCGTACTAAAATGGCAAATGTTTGATAGTATCACATTCCAGCAGTGAATAAATCTTGCTCGTCAAATTGATCCTAACTGCACAAGTGAAATCAATTAGGATCAGTTTTAAGTACTATATAAGGCTTAATGAGTCAAATAAATGTTCCTAAAATCGAGACGCTAAACAAAATGAAATTCGTCAGAGGTACGGTTGAATATAAGCATGGTGTGGTTGAATATAAGGGTCCATATATATGTTGAAGAAGAGTAAATGAAGTCATCATGGGTTGAACGATAAACTGAAGTAAAATTCAAGAAAGAAACTATAATTGTTTAAGGATAAATTAAAGTAAAATTCCAGAATGAAACTAGAAGTGTTGACAAGAGAGACATACCTGATCAACCATGCTTGGTCCGATGAAACATTACGGACATTAATAGAGGGTATATGGGAGACTTTGTCAAAATCCTGTCCCTGATCTTCATGACCATTTGTTGCTTGGATCCTATCTGTGAATTTCTTTGGCATCCGCACAATGTTCAACTCTTTCAGAGTTGTAACGAATTTCAATCCACTGGGAACCATCTCCAGATTTAGGCAATATACAATCGTCAAGACCGAAAGGTTGGGCATGGCTCCTTCATCAACATTCCACTTCTCTAAGTTCGGTAGACGCTCAAAACGAAGAAATCTAAGTTGGCCAAAACCCGTTGCCTTGCACCTCATCTCTTTGCCGAGAAAAGATCTATATTGCAAGTGAAGTGATCGTAGATTAGGAAGCCTTTCCAGTGTCTCCATGGGATCTTCCTCTATGTCGAGCCAGGATAGCATCCACGTAATTGGCCGGAAGATACAAGTGCCTAAGCTGTCTCATCTTCCAAAGAACATTAGGTATTCTACACACTCCAGCCCGTAAATCAAGTGTCTGCAAGTTTTGTAGGTTGCCCAAGGACGATGGCAAACAGAGGAAAATTGAACGTCTCAAACTCAAGTATCGCAGGTGGATCAGCTCCCCAATAGCTTTTGGGAGCCTCAAGTGATCTGCTACTTGGAGAAATTCACTTTTAAGTGTGCGATCTTCAGAGAACGCAGGACGGATCCCTTCAATGGCCAACACTCTGAGCATTTTGAAATTATTGAATTGAGACTTCATTTTCTTAGGAAGACGCCCTTCATAACCATCATTACCTGAGACCAACAAGGCGAGTGACCTCAGGTGCCTAGTATGTCTCTTCTCAGCTGGAGGGACATATTTCCTTACATCCTCCTTAGAAAAATGGACGGCTAGACGGTAAACTTGTGAGTGATCATTATTGCCATACTCATTGAGAATTCCATCATGATAATAGCTTTTGGATAACAAGAAATTCTCCTCTTTGGCCTTGACCAAACTGAGGTCTCTCATTAAGTCATGAAGGCGACACGATGCAAATGATCTTCCAGCGGAGGACAGCATCACATCATCATCATCAGGGGCTTTACCTTGAACCATGCACCGTGTTACTAATTCTCCCAGGTATCTTTCTGCTACATCCATCATTGATTCTTCACCAATCTGATCTTTTGTTGATATTATACCCTCTGCAATCCATAACTGGTACAATTTCTCTGTGCCTATGTCAGAGTCTTCTTCATATCTACTCAGGTAAAGGAAGCAAGGCTTCAATTTGTAGGGCAAGTCATTGTAGCTTAAAGCTAATATCTTGTGCAGATTTCCTTCTTCTTTGATCAAGTTGTTTCCTCTTCCAAGATGAGCTTTAATGTTTCTATTGACAGTCGCCCACTCATTCAGGTCCTTCTTGGTGGCAAGAGTTCCGCTGAGTACTATCACAGCCAATGGAAGACCCCCACATGCTTTCACCATTTCCTTCCCCAAGTTTTCCAATTTTTTTAAATCTTCATGTTCTGTCAAAGAGAGATGATGAGTAGTTCTGTTAGTCTTATTACTTAAAAGACAGAAGTGTCGAGTTGCTCAATGTATGTGCAGTACATTGAATTAACAATTTAACATTTCTGTTTAGCATCATGAATATATGTGTGTGCGCGTGCACGTATATATATATAAGAAACTCTGAGAAAAATTGAAACTATTCCATTGAGAAACAAAAAATAAGAAACTTAGAGAAAAATTTAGCCAATTCCATTGAGGAAGGATCATCTGTTGTTGTTTTTGTTTTGTCAATAAAATTTGGAGCAGAAGACATGTAAAGGGATGTTTATACTTTCGGGTGAAACAGAGGATTTGCCTGTGTTTCGGGAATTTCTCTCTCCGTGTACGTTGTGTGGTTAAATCAATAAAAGTTGTGAGCTTAACAAAAAAGGGGCAAAAAGAAAAAAAGAGTATAGCCCCAAAAGAGGGGAAAATACTCCCACACTTTCTAGTCCAATTAATCATATAACTGCTCATCAAGCACTCACAAAAAGGCGTGGTCCACTTTGCGAGACCCGGTCTCTACACCGCTGTTCATAAAAAACCAAAAAAAAAAAAAATTTTACTTTATACTCTAATAATTCAAATGCAATCTTCTTTTTGGGAGAAATCAGTAAAATATTCGTCTTTCCTTCTCTTGCCTCTTTTCATTATTTTTTTTTAATGATTTCTTTTCTTCAATTACACGGTGTACCAATAAGGATAGCCACAACAAACAAACCCTCAAAATCCACAAGTTTATCATCCCTTGATCAAGTAGGGCCCAATTTAGCAAACTAATAAAAAAAATAAAGAGTGTTTTAAGAAATCAAGTACCTCCATGAAACCTGCCCCGTAAAGCTTTCCTCTGAAGCAGCTGCCAACTTTCGTCCTCACTTAAAAAGCGCGGTTGGTGGTGAAAACCATTGGGATCAATATGCAAAGCCACATCTTTATTGCGAGAGGTAACTAAGATCTTGCTTCCGTCGTTTCTAATTGGAAATGCTTGCTTTATACATTCCCATGGTTCTGTGGCCCAAATGTCGTCAAGAACCACAAGACATTTCTTATTTTGCAGGATTTGAAAAAGTTGTCTGACCAGCTCCTCATCCCTCCACTTCACTATTTCTTCTCTCTTTTCTGGGATTAGGCTTAGCAAGATCCGTTGCAATATGTCTTCCTTTTGCCAAGTTTGTGATACATATACCCAAGCAATGCCATCAAAGCAGCGCCTCACTTTAGGGTGATTGTATACCTTTTGGGCAAGAGTTGTCTTTCCCAACCCCCCCATCCCACAGATGGAGACAACTCTAAAGCGTTGATCAATCTCATGATCATGATCATGATCGCCTCCCCTCAACAGATGCTTTACCAGCATCTCAACATCATCCTCCAATCCAACAAAGTCATCCTCGACAACATGGGAATATGTCCGCCTCAATTGTTGATGCGATGAACTACTTGCGCCGTCCTGTCTTGCGATCCCATATTCCTGAAAACTTTTGGTAAGATCAGAGATTTTCGTTTTCAGAGTCTGAATACCCGTTCCTGTGGTGTGCCTAGCATAGCACTCATTCAGGATACCAACACATCTCTTTGCGGTGCCTCGGATACGGGGCAGGAGCGGTCCTCAGACGACCGCTCCTGAACGGTCTCCTCACAATAAAAAACGTGAGGAGACAAATGAGCCAAGTCAGCAAGGCTGAAGCAGGGCACAAAAACGGCACCGTTCCAAATAAAAAAATGTTGACTTCCAAACGTGAGCAAACGGAGCAAACGGAAGAGAAGTAGATTTTGAAATTCAAGTTGAAATTTTGAATTAGCCGCAGAAAACAAAACTGAGGGAAGAGTCTTGGCGTGCTTCTGAAGGAGCTCTACTCTGACAGTCTGACCGACCGCTCATTGAAGGTAGAAAGCTGAAGTTCGAGTGGAATTCGACTTACTAGCTCTTTCTAGTGAAGTGAGTGTAGTCTACATTGATGAAAATAGCAATTGACAGAAAAGTGAGTGGAAAGGCAGGCGGCAAAGAAGAAGCAAACAGAGATGAAGCCAAAGTTTGGACGGAAAACTGAATAGCAGAAGCAGCTGTGGTTTTCAACTGGGTATAAGAGTATTGTATCTATTTTGAATGCGCACAAGGCAGGCGGTAAGGTAGAAGCAAACAGAGGAAGGACAAAATCTCACGAAGCCAGATTTTGTCCTTCAACTTAATAGCAGATGCAGCTACGCTCTCCGACTTCGGTGAAACGTGAAGCGTATTAGCAGACCAAGGTAACATGACTGAACCATGTCAGTAACTGTGGCCAATAATTTGTCACCCAAATGCACATCTGTTAAATGAAGGATGAAATTAGAGTCACTGAAGACATAATATGAAGATGATACAAGAATAGTGAAGTTGTACTATATTAAATATATGTACCGTATCTGTGTGTGTGACCATTTAGTTTTTCAGTGATGAACTATAAAGAGATAGTAGTTTTTGGAAGACCTAGGGGTATGTATTCAAGTAAACCATCGAACGGAATTAAGGAAAGATGAGAGAAACAAAGTCACATTTAACAAGTGAATGAATGTACATCTTGTTGTAAATTAGTTACATGTTATAGCCACCGTATTACAATTGATATGAATCATTGTGCATCTAGTAATTGATCCATGCTCATGGAGTAATATTAGTTTGTCCCTCTCTTGACCGTGTAGTGTGTATAAAATAGAGGTGTAGAGTTGAATGAGGTGAAACTGAGGAAAAGACATATATGTGAATAATAAATGGGTGAACCTTGTATTGTAAGTAAATTACATGATGTAAAAAATATATTACAATGAGTAGAAAGTGATTGTTTGGCCCTCAAAATATAGAAATAGTAGAAAATGCGGAGTTGGCTTATGCGGTTGTTATTAACGAATGACATAAGGTCCAGTGAGCTAAAGAATCTAGAATCAAAATATAATCACCAGCGTGGATGTACATACAGTTAAAATAGACTTACATCGTGTGACCAATACATTACAATCCGTATAAGTTAGTGTACATGGAGTTGTATTTGTACACAGATTGTCTTAGAGTAAAAGTAAGATGATGTGAATCATTAATCATATTGATAGCGTAATAATAGAATTTGGTATACGAGTAATGTATGATTCATAACACATTATGAATGGTAATATACATTTATGTTGTCGTTTATGTACATACAATTCATGAAGTGTTACAAATTAGGGTGTTTGATGCATAATTGGCAGGATCAGAAGTAATGGATTGCAGCAAATTGGCAGAAGATGGGACCCCTGGGTTAGGAATGGAGTTCAACAGCGGAGAGGATGCGTACAAGTTTTACAACAAATATGCCTTTAAAATGAGTTTTAGTGTACGTAAAGACTATCTGAATAAAGACAAAGACGGCGTGACCACGTCTAGGAGATATAGTTGCTGCAAGGAAGGTGTGAAACGCAAGTACGAAGGTGATGTGATGCCAAAGAGGACACGAGCTCCGACGAAAACAGGGTGTGGAGCTAAAATGGTTATTGTGTTGTTTAGAGGAACAATGAAGTACCGTGTGCATGATCTTGTTTTAGAGCATAACCATGAGTTGCACATTGCTCAATGTGCGCACATGATGTCATCACAAAGAAAAGTGAGCGAAGCTCAAGGATTCCAAGCTGAAATAAGCGAGGACGCTGGGCTTTCATTGAAACAGAGCCATGAGCTTATGGGAAAGGAGACAGGTGGGATGGGAAATGTGGGATATACTCGGGAAGACCTGAAACGATATCTTCGTACTCGACGGGAAAGGAGTTTGAAATATGGAGAAGCAGGTAGCATGCTGAATTATTTTCAAGAACAAACACTCGAGAATCCATCATTTTTTCATGCCGTACAGCTGGACTGTGAAGAGCAGATAACGAATATCTTTTGGGCTGATGCAGGAATGTTAATTGACTACAAATTTTTTGGAGACGTAGTCACATTCGACACAACCTACAAAACAAATAAAGAATACCGGCCACTTGGAGTGTTTGTGGGTTTTAACCAACATAGGCAAATTGTGATATTCGGTGCTGCCCTTATGTATGATGAGACTATAGATTCTTTCAAATGGGTGTTTGGTACATTTCTAGAAGCAATGTGCGGAAAGCGTCCAAGTACCATACTAACCGACCAAGATCATGCCATGGCAGCCGCTCTTTCAGTTGTTATGCCTGAAACATTTCACGGTCTATGTACGTTTCACATAAGGCGTAATTTTATGAAACATCTTGGCAATCACTACAAGGAAAATAGTGATCTTCCATACATGTTTGGTGCCTGCATGTATGAGTTGGAAGAAGTGGAACAATTCAATAGGGTGTGGGAGGCGATGGTGAAGAAACACAATCTTGAAAATAATGAATGGCTCTCCGGGTTGTATAAAATTCGTGATAAATGGGCAAGGTGCATGATGAAAGAAAGATGGACCGCGGGAATGCGAAGCACCCAACTCAGCGAAAGCCTAAATGCAGCAATTAAAAATCATTTGAAACTGGATCATGACCTTGTGCAGTTCTTTAGACATTTCAATCGGGTGGTTGATGAAAAGAGACATAATGAACTGATTGCAGAATATGAAATGAGGCAAAAGCTCCCCATGGTAGGGTTAAGGCAAACACCTATGCTTGTGCATGCATCAGAGACGTATTCACCAACCGTATTTGTTGCATTCCAAAATGAATATGGCGAGTCAACAGCTATGGTTATATTGAGACAACAAGATGCAGCGATGTTTGTGGAGTTTGCGGTCATGAGGTATGATGGAGGACCTGAAAGAATAGTAGTATTCAATCGGAATGATCTAAGTGTATATTGCAGTTGCAAAAAATACGAGAATGAAGGCATTTTATGTGGGCACGCGTTGAAGGTGTTTGATACCGTGGGAATAAAAATAATTCCTCCTGAATACATTAAGAGGCGATCGACAAAAAGAGCTCGGGCTGGAGACTGTTTTGATCGGCGAGAACAGGAAGTTGTGGCTGATCCTAAAGTAATGATTTCAACTCGTTATCGGGAGCTTGCTCCAGCCATGATTAAAGTCGCAACTCGAGCAGCAATATCGGAGGACACCAGCAAAGTAGTAATCACTGTCATATCCGATTTGTCAAAGAGAGTTGAGCTCCTCCTCTCAAAAAGCGAAGAGCAACCTTTGCAAAATCAAAAAAATCTGAATATGGAGGAACGAGATAAAATTGAAATTGTAAATGAAATGGGGGAGGCAGTAGTCGCAAGAGGCATTAAAAAACGAGGCGGTGGGAAGAAAAGTAGAGTGATGCAAAGTTGGGTCGATAAATTTGACAGAGTAAAAAGAAAATCTAGATTATCAAGAACTACACAGACTACGGTATGGATCAAATTTTGGTACTTGGGAAACATTTATGCTAAAACTAAGTTATTGTTATACTATTAACTAAAGTTTAGGTAACATTCATTATGAAATAATATTATTGCCGTGTCAATACTGTAGGTCTCAGAATCGGAGCCGACATCGGTTTCATTTGAGGAATACATGTTTATGGGATGCCGTTCATCTACTGACTCTGTTTCGGTTAGTATAAAATGGACATGACTCTTACTTTTATTTGGATGTTTCTAATAGCATAAATAGTTACATTGATGTTACATTGTGTGATAATGTTGTTACGGCCGTCATCCTTCCTGATATACGTATTTTGTTTGTCTTATACAATGATTTGGCCCATACGAAACTTGTAGACGCATTCAATGAGTCAGACAGTGAATGACCCTCCAAATGTTGTTGCTCCCGATATCGATAAAAGTCAAACGGTATGCATACATTTAGTAGTTAAAATAAAACCTTCTTGTTCATGTAGTAGAGCTACCTTTTTTTCTTTAATTGTAACGGTGGGCTCCCGAAAGCTGTCAAATCATGCAAATTATGTAGTTAACGTATGCTCGCTTTAATAACGTATTATTTTTTATTATTTCAAGATCCACCGTTTGGCTAATCAGGGGCCTCCTGCAACTGCAAGTGTCCCTACAGAATGGATGCATCCCAGATTTTCTATTTTTTCCAAGCATAACTCTATCAGAGATGTCTTAATGGTCTGATATATCATTTTTGTTATAATGTCTAGTCCAATTTAACTTTATAAGTGAGCAATATAGGCACTGGTAATGATTTGTTGACAGTCGATTACTTATACTATATAATGTAGGAGGAGCGTGAGGCAATTTCAACACACTGTGATGTTGATGCATATCATGTATTTGCACCATCACCTCAGGTGATAAACTTTTATCGTTACAGCACATATTTATGTAATGTTATTAATTGGAGACTTGGACATCGTATATCAGTAATCGTAGGTTTTATTAATAATATTTGCTGATTTGCCATCGTTATCCATTTCAGGGAAGAAATAACACACAGGGATTGCAACTACGCGTTGACGTCGCCTCCCCCCAGAATGAGGTTGATGAATGATGTGTAACTATATATTTTCAACGAGACATTAAGTGGTTGTCCCAACCTGAGAATGTTGCATATGTACGTTACAAGCAGTTAATAAGTTGTTACAACTTATTGACGAGGTTATACAAGCACCATTGACGTTTCACTCTTTTCAAATTTAGATAAGTGGATTACAATTGTAATCGCATCTAGTGTTAGTAGTCATCAATAGTTTGTATTGGGTTGTATAAAATTGTTAGAAAATTATAAAGTTGGTAGAAAATTGAAGTAACAATTTTACAATAGAATTGAACGTGTTTTTTGTGATCGGATATTTTTCACTAAATCGACCATAACAGTTGAATGGTTGTCGTGATATGTATATCATTCTACTACGTTCAATTGCATAGCTTAATAACATATTTATTGGCATAGATCGCACCGTCAAAGGTACGATGTATAAGATAACACAATCTAAAGTCTAAATTGTCTTGATTTTGTTATGATGATAAATTCGAATTATTATTGGACTATTTTTATAAAACATTATCATTTAGGCCATTTGTTTTGTATCGCTTGACGAATTTAGTGCACCATTGACATGATATATCACAGGCACATCAATTGGTATTACAAGTTTTTAGGTTAATTAAATTATGGTCAAACCAAGTCACGACCACGTCTAGGTAATAGGTGCGCATAAGAAAATGATTCCTTGGAGAACTAATTTGTAACGTTAAAATGAAGTTTTACAATGCAATAAAAAGGAATAACGAACAGTACACAATGGGTTACAACCAGTTAGAGATCTATTACTGTTACGTTACAACTAGTTACGACTGAGTAACAGGCATGATTAATATCCAAATATGGTAAGCATTTATTTGAGTAGACATTATAATGAGTATAATTTTACCGCTACCCTAACAAACATTGAACTACATCCCTTGTTATCAGTTGTATCCCATACAACACCTGGGAACGCCGTCATGCATTAGACAATGGGGTATGTACCTTTGAAAGTCATCGTCGCTTGATTCAGTAAAGTCAGATAGGTCCGGGTCCGATATAA